TCTTAAGAGCGAAATACACCACACAAGCGGCTTGTCAAACCTACTTTTCCCATTTCGCCATACACCATGCAAACATGAGTCATTCAAGCACAGAATTTTAGTTTTCCTCCGGTTCACAATGTTAAAAATGTTGGTTTCTTCCATTTTTCTCCCTTACGTCCTCACTTGGTGAAAATTCAGCAACAAATGAGGCGATTTTACCATCCACATCGCAAGCGGTTTGATCAAACGTCAACATGGCGGCCAGAAAATCAAAAAATTTTGATTTTTGCTCAAATTTCCCTCAAGCGGTTTGTCAAACCTTCAAACACCCCCGTAGATAACACAAATGGATTGAAACAAAGGGATATTTCGCTTGGTTTGTCAAGCCGCTTGTGTTGTGTATTTCGCTCTTTAGTAACGGGTTTCGATACGAGTTTGCTCTTTAGATCAATGATGGGCAAAACGCTACTCGCGAGTAGCGTCTGCGTCGCAGCGCTTATACGTATACAGAAACGACGCAGCGAATTTCACTTCAGTCTAGGGATGCAAATTTTCAGAGCCCACATCGATACATCGATATTTCGATGTATCGTAAACACTAACATCGATGCCGAAAAAAATCGCCCTAAAACTATCGATACATCGATATATTCCGATGTTTCTCTTTTTAATAAGTATGTTGCAGGTACTTCATGATTTGCAGGTTTTTACAGGAAGCGGTTAACGTACGCCTTCTTCCATAAGGTTTATTAATGGCGAAAACCGCTTTACCTGTAAAACTGCAAATCCTGAAATACAGTGATCGTCATGGAAATCGCCTATGTTCAACATTGCCAATTGCTTTTATTAAGTGCAGGGCTGCCATCACCCATAATACACTTACCCAAAGGGCTCTGTCCCACGGTCAGTAATTATCACGATATTTGGATCGCGATCCATATTGATGGATTGATGGATCGTGCACGAATGCTACATGTTCAATATTTATCGCGTCAGTATTTGCAAGAAAATATTTTTATTTTGTACGTATAATTTACAGATAATGCATTCCACAATTATTTTAAGATTTGTTCAAGATGTTTTGAAAGATTTTAAGCCCCGAGAGTGAAGGCAGAGCCGATGTTTACATTATGAGAGTAAAAGATGTACTGAAGAAATGTATGGATCGCGTTTTGAAAGTGCTACACGTTCAATATTTATTGACGGTATTGCGATCCGCTATCCAGATACTACTTCATACTACACCGTCAATAAATATCACGATACTTGGATCACGTCAATAAATACTGACCGTGTTACTGCCCGTCTCCACAGGATAAAGTTTATATCTTGATACATATGTCAGAATATAATTTGCCAATGGAGACCGCTCATTGCTCTTCGAGAGCAATATATATCAGAGCTTATATTTTGCCATCTATTGCCGGCATTTTGGTAGTTTGACAGCTACATTTTCATTTGCACGAAAACTTCCTGGCTGCAACATCATTATTATTTTAATATAAAACCAAAAATTGAGCTGTTTCCTGTTAAAATATTTGTAATTATGTATTTGGATGTAAAATAGCCTATTTTCTAATTTTTTTAAGCGATTAAATCCGGCAAAAATACGTTTTCGAAGCTATCATACAAATGCTCATATCAAGACATAAAAAGCCCACACAAATATTGCCACTGATATAAATTATATCTAGCTACCAAAATGACAGCTGGGCAGCAATAAATTTTATCCTATGGAGACGGCCAGTGACAGAGCCCAAAGAATATAACATAAAGATGTGAACGCAATGGCAATTTTGAACCGAAACTAAAGTCAATGTTTAAAACATCGTTAAAATTGACATCGATATATCGCCAATTTTACGATGTTGAGTATTTTTCAAATATCGATGGTAAACATCGGTTTTTTGGCCGATGTTATCGATGTTTCAGAAACATCGATGCATCGTTTGCATCCCTACTTCAGTCTGCTTTCAGTTTTCATGAGAGTAACACCATGCTTCGCCGTTGAATATTTTTATTCGTAATTCTAGCGCGTTGTTGCCACCTATATATGTAACAATGCCCAAAATAGCTGCGTATGAGTGCCAATTATAGTTTTTGGTTTTAAGAAAAGCCAATAATGCCCAATGCTTGTTACGTGGTAATACGACTACTTGGAATCGTACTTTTAATATAAGGCAACATTATTTGTCATGGTAAAAAAGTCAAACTGCCGAACTGTGTAAACCAATTTAAAGTGTTTTGTAATGGGTTTTATGTATATATGTATGTACGATACGGCAATTTAATATATTTAGTATACTTTATTGAATACTGAGTTTTTTACAAAGTTTAGAAATTTTAAATTCGTGAATTTTGTTGTTGAATAAACTATCATTTTTTAAAACATTAGTTTAATGAAATTAAATTAAAAAAACTTTTCATGCGCGTACATATGTACTTATAAAAATTAATTTCATAATTCATTATTTGAAATTATTTCTTCATTATTTTTTTATTATATTTTATTATTTTCGTTTCATGTTCATAATACAAATTAAATATAAATTTGTAAGAGCGTTTTCTAACCCGCGCAAAAAACGACGCACTTTTGTACAATATAGAAAAGTGGCAACTGTTACTCAGCGCGATTCACGAATACCATGACAAAATGAGACTGTATTGGTGTGCCCATCCCCAACAAGCAAAATAAACTTAAAGAAAGTTTTTTTTAAGTTTTCAATTATAAACATTAAGCTTACAAAACGTTGATTTTTTGTTTATAAAACGCTTGAAAGTAAGCGTAATATAATCGAAAAGGAACATTGGTTATAAGCGTAGAAATATAAACTTGTAATAAATGTTCAAAAGAAAGCTTTTTATAAGCGTAAAAGTGTAAACTTATAATAAAGGTTCAAAAAAAGTTTTATATAAGCGGACCAATATAAACTTACTAAAAATTTTCAAAAGAAAGCTTTTTATAAACATTTTTATAACCCTTTATTTAAAGATATTTCATTAAAACCTCATACATAGATTGCTTAACATCTAGAAACTAAACGAAATGCGAATTTTCCGCGGACTCATCTACAGTCGCGAAAATATAAATAGGGAATAGACATTTTAGCATACAAATTCACAATAACACATACAAATTAAGCATAAAAAAGTTAATTATTACATCTTGTTGCGTGCTTTCAATTACTTGCGGTTATTGGCAAATTGGAAAAGGGACATCGATGCAGCTATATATTGCGCTTTATCGCCGCCATTCTCATTGATGAACTTTTCTGAAAAAAATTTAATACGTTTTTAATTGAATGTTAAACTAAGAAAGGATAAGGGGAACTCATCATTTGAAGACTCGAATGCTCCACCGATTAGCGCAGCGGGTCCTGGATTGGATTTTCTTGTTTTACCGCATTGGTTTTATTTAATTTTTTCTTTTAATAATATATTTTAAAAAACGTAAACACGTCACTTACGATTGAAAAAATTTTATATTTACTACTTCATGTCATTGGCATTTACATTTCATTTATAAGTTTAAGTTATTTATAAACATTCGCTCTCAAAACTTATTAAAGGTTTGTTTGAAAAAACTTTTAATAAGCTTAATATTAAAAATGCTTATTTAACGCTTATTATAGCAAACTTAATTTAAGTTATTTTTAAAAACGTTTACTGAAATGCTTGTTGGGTCTATGCTTTAGATACCTACTCAGTACTTTAGATCAAAAGTATCGATACCAAAATTACTTGGTATCGAACGAAAAGTATCGGGTATGTTCTTGTATTTGCTCGTATCGGTACATTCCTATAAACAACAGCTGATTTGTGTAAAATTCATTCCGGGACGTGCATTTTATTTATTTGATTGTGTTTACTGAAATATCTTATTTAAAATGAGTAAGATCAAGAAAAAGACTAAACCCGGTAAGATTCCGAAGCCCATTAAGGTTAAGAAAGAAAAAACTGAAGAAGATCGCACGCTTCACCCAATGTCTCACTACATAGACGACCGACTGGAATTGGTGAAACAAATCTTTGGATCGCTGAAGCCGAAAACAATTACAAACTTAGCGCCAGATTTTCTAAAGGTTTGGATAAAATTAATAACCTCTCATATGTATTAATCACGCAAATTTGAATCATAATTAGCACAAAAGCATGGACGAAATTGAAGAGCTCTGCTTGAACGAATTGCTTGGCATATCAACAAAGCGATTATTATCCATTATAAACGCCACAAAGTGCCCCACCGACACAGAATCCTCGGGCGAATCAGATGTTGAGCATCAAGAGGGTAAGAATATTAAGACATTGGAGTAATAATACGGATTTAAATAATTGTAAATTGTAGAGCACATCTCGCTTGAAGAGATTTCTTCGGACAGTGAAATCGAAGGCTCATCTAATGCAGGTAAGCTTAATGATTTCTTCTTAACTAATACTTTTCTAAATTATAAAATTGTTACGCAAAAGTTCTTATTCTGTACTTTTATCATTTGAGCCGGTTAGATCTCTTACGGTATAATTTATCGTACATTTTTGTTATTTCATGCACAAGTTTACTAAATTACGTATGTAAGACATTTATAAAATATGTAGGTTTAAAATGACATAGAATTTAATTATTGAACCTACTATTTTCGCACTCAAGCGTATTTAAATTTTTCGGCAATCCGCGCTGGTGGTAGATAAAACGCGCGGAGTATAACCACGTCTTCAATAACACCAAATTCCACATCATCTTCATTTTCCTTGCAAACATCCAGCGTAATTACGAAGTCTCCTGTTTCCAATAAACCACTACACCGCCCATATTCAATGCCATATTCTACAGGGCAAAGATTGTTTGGATTCATATCTTTTGCATAAAGAATTCCACGCAAATTTCTTCGCAAATTCAGCACCTTTGCTAATTTCAGTTTGCATTGAAACTCTTTCTCCTCCATATCATCAAATGGCAACATCATGAGAACAGGACAGTAAATTTCCACACGTCCAAATGCAACGGCAGCAGTTTCGCACTTACTGTGCACCACAATCGCCTGACACTCTATTGAGCTAATAGTGCGTATTATAAAATTAACTATGCTCTGATAAGAAGACAAACTATTCTTTAACGCCATTGTATTCTCTACAACTGCTCTGTGGAAATCCTTTAGGGGCAACAATTTCTTCACGATCAGTGGATATTTGTTACACCAAGGACTCTTTTGTATAAACATAGTGTCTATGCGCCATAGAAAATCATGATTTTCAAATCGTTTAAAATCATTACAACGTTCAAGTGGTATTGTGCCTATTATGGGCTTCCTTAAACACTTCGCCAACGGTATTAAATCGTTAAATATGTGTTTTTGCATTGATGCAGTAGCACTAAACATATCTTGTATCCAAACATAATCGAGTAACTTAACTATGCCCATCAAGTCGAGCATCTTAGAACAGGCGAATTGTAGATCTATTGTACCGATCAATTTAAAATCAAATTCATCTTTGAGACTTGCACGCAAAGTACGTAGGAATGGTTTGCACCGAATGCATGGCAAAACAATAAAGTCCGCCTTCGCTTGAGCCGCTAATTGCAAATCGTCCATAAAGAGATCAGGGAACGTTTCATTTGGCAGGGCATAACATTGATTCGGCAATTCGATGTATTCGTATGAATTGATTATACCAGCATCTTCAATGATAATTGTCGCATTGTTTTTAAGTTTCTTCACAATCTTTCCCTTCACCTCGTTACCCAGCAGCAATACATCGCCAAGCTTTAAGGCTTTAAAGTAATATTTCAAATTTAGTACATATGCAATTTCACGGTAACTAGAATAACGGTACGATTCGTCAAGCGTCAATGTCATAACGTCGCTGCGATGTAGCAGCACCGAGCAATTGTTGCGTAAACGTCCTATACGGCAGCAGTCACCGTGCAATTGTAAAGCTATGCCGATTGGTAGACGTATTCTAGGCTCTTCCGCTTGTAACTCATCAATTATAGTCTTCGCGCGTATCAGAATCTGTTCGAATTCGTTGCGTCTACATGTGACTGTATCGATAAGCAATGTGCGTGCACCGTTCTTCAACAGACTCTTTAGTTCATCGTCCGTGGTCTCCATAACAATGCGCGCCATCAAGCCAATGTTGTAGTAGCGACGCTTGCAACGCTTACGTGCATGGCGGTCATGCTCATCGCATGCTTTCTTGAACTCATCCAAGCGCTTGATAAGGTTTTGATTATCATTTAAGACCACCTTGAATTCACGCTCCTTGTTTTCCTCTTCTTCACTGTCTAACGAGGTAGCCTGATCGCCCGCTGCGTTGGTGAATTCCATTTATTTTTTTCGATTTAATTTGTGTATTTTAACTAAAACTTTTACACTTTTAGGAAAGAAAAAGTCCAGCGGAGCTGATGGTAAAGGTGGTGCCAAAAAGTCTGCAAAAGGTACAGCCGGAAATGATGAAAGTAAGTATCAAAATTAACGGCCAAATAGAATGAAATGCCAAAAAATAAGCAATAAAAACTATTTCGATATCAAATGCAAATAAATGAAGGAAAAATGAAATTATTAAAAACTGATTTATAAAAGCGTTACGTTTTACAGTGATGGAGTTAAAAATAAAGAACAATTTTTAATAATATAATAATCACAGAATATTGTTAATGTAGATACTTTTGGAATGTTTATCAATATATCCAGTATTTAACGAAATATTACAATAATTCAAGATGCATAGAGGACCTTTTAATAATCTTTTACAAAATCATCATCTACAGATAATGGCCAAATAAGCGTTTTGGAATTACTGGAGTTACAAGCGCGTGCGCGTGCTATTCGATCTCAATTAGCACTTGAGCCAGTGACAAAGATCGAAGTAGACTCAGACGACGAAAAGGACAGTGAAAAAAATGGTAATGAAAAATCCACTAATGGAGCAGCTTCCAAAGAGCATAAACGCAAACATAGGCGTAAATCCAGCGAGAAAAGTAAAGATACGGAAAAGACGCAATCTACGTCTACTTCAGCTGCTGCACGACCGCCAGCAACAGCGAAGGCAAGTAAAATAACTACCAGCTCTGCTTCGGAAACTCCCAGTACTTCAAATAAGAAGGCAAAGACAAAGGAAGATGAAGCTCAGCCAACAAAAACAAACAAGTTGAAGAGAAATTACCGGGCGAAAAATAATGAACCCGAAACTGCAGCTAACGAAAGTAAAAAGAAGTCTAAAAACAAAGTATCAGATGCTGCACTCATGGCGATTACATTAAAAGAGGTTAAAAAAGAAGCGAGATCTCGTTCAGCTACACCGGATGTAATACCAATAATTCCGGAGCCAGAAACTTTGTTAATTAGCGATAGCTCGGATGGCGAAAATGGTGAAATGAGAAAAAAGAAAACGACTCCAATTGAAAGCAATACAACAACAACAACTAAAAACAATAGTGACGCCAGCAAGGATATCGAAAAACCGCCAAGAGAACGAAAGTTAACTGAACCCGAAGAGGGTGAAGTTGTTGAAATCCCTGTTGAGAAGTCAACTGCAGCAAAGAGTAATGATAATAGTAAAGCTACTGAAACTCCTGCTGCCAAGCCAACTGCCGCTGCGGCTACTGAAAATAAGGAATCAGATTCGAGCGCGGAAAACATTGCAAACACTGAGGCGTCGACTGCAGAAGTGGCCAAGCCAGATAACAATGAAACTGCA